CACCTCTATGGTGCCAGGTTTACCATCAGGACAGACCATGCTGCGTTACGCTGGTTAACATCATTAAAGAACCCAGAGGGATAACTGGCATGTTGGATCGGAAAGATATACCAGTATAATTATGATATTGAATACAGAGAAGGAAAATCTGATGGAAATGCCAATGAACTGAGCAGAAGACCTTGCAAAAATGACTGCAGACATTGCTGCAAAAGAGAGGTTTAGCTAACCAGGTGTCATCAAGCTGAAGTCAAAGTGATTGAAGGAGTTGATGATGGTGAAATTGAACCAGGTATAGATATTAAATCAGAGCAGGAGAAAGATCGAGATTGGAAGCCAATAATTGATTTTCTAAAAGCAAGTGTTTTGCGCCCTGCTTGGGAGAAGGAGTCTAGTCTAAGTCCTGTGAGAAAGAACTATTGGGCACAGTGGGACCAGATGAAGTTTGAAGATGGTATTCTTCCTCAAAGATGGGAAACTGCAGTTGGTAAAGTGACGACCTGGCAAACAGTTATACCGAGAAAGATACGGGAAGTTATGTTGCGTTAATCCCATGATAGTTTAACAGGAGGACATCTCGGAGTTAAGAAGACATTGAATCACCTACGATAGAGATCTACTGGATGGGTATGAGGCAAGATGTGGAAGAATGGTGCAGAACACACAGTACATGTTGTGCTAAAAGGGGACCCAAGTATAAGGGACGTGCTCCAATGAAGATATATAAAGTTGGCGCACCAATGGAAAGAGTAGTCGTTGACATTGCTGGTCCTAACCCCAAACTCGTGCTGGAAATAGGTACATTTGTGTGGTGATGGATTATTTCACCAAGTGGCCTGAGGCATTTGCAATACCAAATCAGGAAGCTAGAACTGTAGCTTCGGCTATTAGCGATTTCTTTTTCAGATTTGGTATGCCATATGAACTGCATTTTGATCAAGGCCGTAACTTTGAATCAGTTGTGTTCCATGAATGCTGCAAGTTGTTTGGCATACGAAAAACCAAAACAACGCCACTTCACCCACAGTCTGATGGTAGAAAAGTACAATTAGACACTTGGACAGGAATTGGCAAAGTTTTGTAATAGCCGCATGAAGCCACTTGATACACTCCAGCAAAGTTGATGTTTGGTCGGGAACTTCGGTTGCCAGTGGTTCTGTTAACAGGACGCCCACCTTATGAACAGTTGCCTGAAAATGTGTCAGAGTTTGTGAAAGTGTTATCGGAAAGAATGGATAATATTCACCATCAAGTGCGTTCAAACTTAAATACGTCTGCTGATTCCATGAAGCTATGTTATGATAAGGGATCTACTGAAGTCAGCTTTGTACCAGGAGACAAGGTGTGGTTGTATAGTCCCAGGAAGACAAAAGGAAAGTCTCCTAAGTTGTCTTCTCCATGGGAAGGCCCATATGACATAGCGGATCGTCTCTCAGACGTGACTTTCCGAATAAACTGTGGTCGGCGAGGTAAGCCAAAGGGGGTGCATGCCAACAGGCTTTGGTGTTATCATGGTCCAGGACATTTCAGTTGGGACGAAGTGAACAATGGAACAAAAGACACCACTGAAGACGTGTCACCTGATAAAGCCACTGTCGAAGAAGAAACTGTACTCGGTTTTGAGAAGGGAAACAGTGAAGCCCTTGAGGAAGTTACTACCATTGATTACCGATGATAGGACATTTCGTGATGAAGAAGATGAACCCCACATGAAGCAGAAGCCAGCGAGACGGAGACCAGTACGGAAGAAGATATGTCCAGTAAAATTAAGAGACTTTGTTGAATTTTAATTTTGTGTTTGTAAATTATGTAGATTTAATTAAGTTATTGTTAATTGTTTATTGGTTTTATGTAAGTGGCTATTGTTCGGGACGAACAATACTATGGAAGGAGCAGTGTTACGACAGCGGAAGTCACGTGACGCTGGGAACACGTCATGATATTCTAGAAGGATCGGTGAACATCACGAATAATCCAGTATGTGCTAGGCGCCCTCTATTCCTGTATATAAGTGCGCTGGATAACGTGAGACAAATTAATCGGAATTGAATTGCAGATAGGCAGAGATAAAGACGTACAATTGAGTTAAGCGCGGTAGTGACCGTAAGTAAGTGCGTGAATCATTGTGAATTATATCGTGTGTTTAAAGTGACTGTGGAAATTAAATGTATTACAAAGAAAGAATAAACTAGTTTTATTTAAGAAAGGACTTGTATCGCTAAAGTTTCATCCGAAAGAAGTTATACGGTAAATTAACAAATGACCAGAGGCGTAACAATATTATGATGGTAGGTGGTGAAAACGTCACATTTTTTAAAGGGAGGTTCAGCAGAAAAAGCTTGAAAACCGCTATTTTAAATAGATTAGCTACTATTCAGAGAAGAATACTATGCCTTAATAAGAGTGACGTATCGCTTTTACACAAAATCCAAAATTATGTTAATTTTTATAAATGGAAATATTTGTTTTTCAATATTATACGTAGACAACAGATATAATACACGTTAATTGATAACTGTAATATGCCATTTTAAATATCGTTTATCGACGAAGCATTAACGATCCGCAGTGGTTCAGCAGCAAGTTCGAGGGCTTATAACGCTTATAAATGGTTTCAATATCCACGGTATGTAAAGCATAGATTGTTCATTTGTTAGCTATGTGCTTAATAATAAATAAACAAAAACAAAATATTAACAAAGAATCTGGTTGCAAATAGTTAGTAATTTTGAGTATAGAAATTACGTTTCCCTAACTTTAAGTATAGAGGGCGTATTTATTTACACTTAACGTGATGGCTGAATTTCCAGATTTAGGGAAACATTGTTATATAAGTAAATGTAATAAATTAGGTAGCGTATAATTGTTTATAACTATAAGTTATTCATTTATGAATACACTTATTGTATAATATAGGCTTAAACATTAAGATGTTTCGTGACTAATTATAAATCGTTTTGCAAAATCATAAGTTGTAATACTACTACTAGGCTTTATGTTAAATAATTAAGTTTGTTAATGTTAATAACCTGAAAACTCAAAAACTAAATGTTTTCTGACGAAATATACATTATGTTTTATCAACAATAAAATTATTTCTTATTTTTATAAGTCGTTGTTTGCCTGACTAACATATTAGTATAAAGTGCTTCCTTACTAAAGTATTTGAATTGACAATGAAAAGTTTATTGCTCACTTAGTAATGTTGGCAAATTACGTGCGTATAAATCAATATGACGATTATGAGATGCACGAAGTGAAACTTGAATTCAAAAATTAAATTATAATTGAAGTAAAGGAAATAAACCATTTCGAACAAAATTTAATATCTCGTTACTCTACCCTATGAAAGACTGAATTGTCGAAAGGGTTTAAAGGAGTGATACTGATATTAATTAGTATTAGATAATTCCTGGGTTGGTAAGGCTACCAGTACCATATGAGGACAGGTTAAAAGTTTTTAGTTTAAAATTATTTTCTTTTGAGAAAAGATTTGTGAAAGGGGTCTGATTAAAGTGCTCAAAATTATAAAGAGAACAGATAGGACTGATGCAATTTAGTTTTTTGAAACAATGTGGTCACCTTTTGAAGTATGTGGCCTAGAGATATGGTGCAGTAGTTTCAACAGGATTGGAGAGGTCAAGAGAAGGTTTGAAGAATTTGAAAAATCGGGTTTCAGTATAGATGGGTGTTTGATGTGTACAAGCAGGATGGGTCAAGGAGCCTCTTGTTATCCCTCAGATGTTATGTTAAGGAATGGATAAATGTTTATATAAAAGTGTAATAAATATTAAAAACAACTAATCTTAGTGTTTATGGGAGGGTGTGCCATAAACCCTATCACAAAGAATAATGTACAAGTTATGAGTGGGCCATAAACCCTATCACCAATAGTAATGTACAAATAATTCATTAGATTGTGCATTGGTAATATAATTGTTAGACTATGTAATCAGAGATGGGATCTTGAGATTGGCCTGGAGGGCAAATTATGAAGTCTTGACTAGCTGTTCTGGTCTCAATCTTGGTTTCTATCTTGATAGATCACGGTCTTAACACTATCTCTGCAGAGTAACTTCACACATTGATTTTCTTTGTGAAAACAGTCAGTCATATGGCAACATCATCTAGCTCGTGGCAAGTGTTCTGGATCTACTTGGTTTTGTTTAGTTGGAAGATTATCATCCAGATTAGAAGAAGTGAAATCAACTTAAGAAGTAGTATCACTGATGCTGTTTTGAAAGAAGCAGATACAATTGCATGAAACATATTTAAGTGAACCTAACACCCAAAGTGAATTCAGTATTAGAGAACCAGTAGAAATTTTGTGCTGTAAGTTGAATATTTCTTTGCTAAATAGAAACGTACATCACATTTGATTAATCATTATTGAAAATTAACATTTAACAATCCATTTCAATATGAAGAAGAATCCTGTCATTAGTAAATGATTACAGTTCATTGATCTTTATTTATCTGTTAGTTTTGAAATTACTTTTTGTGATTGATTAATTATTCAAGTATAAATATATCAATTGGAAATTGGATAGAAGAGTGGTCGGATGGAAGAAAGCAGAGGGTTGTTACAAATGGAGTTCAGTCAAACTGGATTAATGTCACAAGTGGGGTTCTTCAGGGTTCAGTCTTAGGACCTTCAATTACATAGATGAAGGAATAGTCAATAACTTACTTAAATTTGCAGATGATATTAAAGTGTTGGGTGTTGCTAGCTGTGAAGAGGATACTACTGATTTACAAAGGAATTTGAATCATTTAGTGAATTGGGCAAATAAGTGGCAGATGGGTTTTAATTATAATAAATTCAAGGTATTGCATATGGGTTATCATAATTTGAATTATAAGTATAATTTGGATGGAAATAACCTTAATAGTGTTATAAGGAAAGGTATCTTGGTGTAATAGTCAATCAGTTTCTAAAGCCATTCAAGCAGTGTGTTGTTACTAGTGGTAAGGCAAATAGGATTTCAGGTTGTATCTACAGAAATATTGAATACAAGTCTTAGAGAGGTTATAATATCACTGTATAGGTCACATTTGGAATATTGTGTTCAGTCTTGGGCTCCTTACCTTAGGAAGTATATTGAATTGTTGGAAATGGTTCAGAGAGGGGTTACTAGAATGATACCTGGGATGGAGGGGTTGTCATATGAGGAGAGGCTGAACTCTCTCAAATTGTTTTCTCTTGGAAAAAGAAGAGTTAGAGGGGATCTGATTGAGATGTTTAAAATTATAAAGGGAATTGATGAGCACATAGGATGCACCCATATTTTAGCAAAGAATATTTAGGAAAAAAAACATTTGAGTGTATCAAAGCATTTAATGTTTACTCCAAAAAACTTAAAACATGAAATCTGCATATCAAGTAAACCATTTCAATGAAAATATCTTACTTGCAACATATTATATCAAATTTTTATAACAAGAAAAATACTTTTCAGTAAAACAGTGAGGTAAAGAGCAAAAAAAGATTATTCTATTAAAAAAAAAGCTTTAATTATCTAAATATCCAGCAAAATCTTCATCACTACTGTTTATGGATAGTGATTTTTTGCTGTCTTCAAATAATCTTTTGAACATGAGCAGTTTAAGAATTGTTGCACGTTACAAATAAGAACTGCAGTAGACGATAGTGTTCATGAGAGTTCAGAAACACTTACTGTTTAGCACTGAAGAACCAGGTGAGCTGCTCAATTATACTGACACTAATCATCTTGGATTACCTATTATAAATCTACTTGTATATTTAGCAAAATTTTTTAATTAATTATAAGTTAATCATATATTTTTGTGTGGATTAATTTTTATATTTTAATCTACAGTTGTCTGGGGAAATACTAGGTAGAATTTAGCTTATATGGGTGAAACTGAGAGATTTATTTTCTTTAACTTCACATATTACATGGAGATTGATTTTTTGAGTCTTTTTTCAGGAAAAAACATGTTTTATATGCCATAAAATACAGTATACAATGCAATAGAATCATGCTTTTTAAAGGTTGGCCTCAACATGTCAGGTTTTGGTGTGAGCATGTCAAGTTTTGGTTTTGACACCATCTCTGTATGTAATTTAGTAAAGATTACAGTCTTATCAATTTTGAATTATCATGTTTCTTTACGGTCTATAAAGGCTTCATAATTTAACACTCAATGATATGTCTGAGTTTAATAAAGAAATTATTGTTGGATAGAGCCAATGAATTTGATGAGTTGTAAATTTCAAGTTATTCATTTGTATATGAAGTATAGGTATATTTCCTAATTTTAAGAGCAAGACATCATTTTATAATTATTAGACTATTTAATCTGTAGACTTTATACTTGTAAATTGTAGTGGTGTTAATCAGTTATGTTTAGACTGAGACACAGTCATTGATGTAGTGTGAGCAGATGGATATAGAATTTGAAACCGTGGTTGGCATTAAGCAACTTTCTTATCAGATCTGGAAATGTTAGTTTATAATATCAAAAGTTTCATGTTAGATTGTGATTGGAATAAAGGGATATGATGAAACACTTGCTAAAGTTAAGTTTGATAGGACTGAGATATTTTGGTGCAAAAATTAAACCCTTTATATATATATAACAGCTAATTTAAGCATGGAATATTATATACTTAATCAAGAGTTAAGTGATGGTTTATTGTGAGTAAATTATGGGGAAATGTGCATAGAATATAACAAAATAAAAGCATCACACTGTAAAACAGTCAATTTTATGTGGCGATTTGCACACTAGAAAGTCAGTTGTATAAAAAAGTAAAGTATGCATTACATAGTACTGAATGCTCTTGTATGTCTTGTTTGGAGGCAAATTTTACTATCATTTCCGATACGTAATAATCTTATTTTATGGAGACTATACGGTTTCTTAACTGTTATGCTTGATTATCACAGAATTGAATAAGAGGACAATATCCTTAGCCATTTAGGCTCATGGGCTGATATCAGTATAATAAAAAGTTAGCTTTCATCAAATATAATAGGCATTTGTAGAGTTGAAATTCATATTTCATTATTTAACATTTTTTATTAATGTAAAATTTATCTTCAGTTGGGATTACAAGTAAACTGTTCTATTACTAAACATTGTTTATCAAGTTTGATATTTGTTGCCATATTTTTGTACATTCTCAATACTTGTAAACATTTGATTTGTATTTTTATTAAAACTGAGGGAACTTAGGAGCATTCTGTATGTGTTAAGCAATTTTCATATTGGCAAATATAAATTGACAAATATAAATGTGCTGTTATATACTGAATGTTACACCGTAATTTTAAGACTACTATGTGTGTGTGTGTGTGTGTGTGATAACTCTCTGAAAAAAAATAATCTAGATATTTGTCATAGGAAAATCATATATTCTTCTAAAGAACCTCTTTAATATCAATATTTGATTATTAAAATATTGTGAGGAATTAAGTTATCATTATGTCTTCCTTCATGTGCAGGTGTCTGTTGGTACATAATCATTACATATTCTATCATATCATTAAACTTATTACGTTATACACAGACACCTGTTAATAATAACTGCAGTCATTTTGTCTAAGCTTAAACTACAATGTATAATGTAAATCAATAGTCATGTGCTTTGTACAAGGTGGTTATTGTTGATTGGCTTGTGGCATAGTGTTATGTTAAGTATTGTACACTTTACTGTCCCAAAGTGTGTCAATCGAAAGTTTACTGACTTATGATGCCAAAATATGGGGTTTGATATTATGCAGTATATACGGCAGATAGTATAATATGGCTTTGTGCTAAAACAAAAACATCTCGTACACCAAGGTGGTTATCGTTGATTAGCTTGTAATACAGATAATAATTATTGTAAACATGTTACACAAAAGTGGTATTGTTTCGTTGGATTGTGATATATTGTGTTATGATAATTGTGCATGTTACACAAAGGTGGTTATTGTTGATTGGCTTGTGACAGAGTGTTATGTTAATAATTGCAAACATTTGACTTTGAGATAAGCTGCAAAGTTAAGAAAGAAGTTTTGGGGTTAGTAATTTTTTGTTACTATAGATTCTGTAGGTGTTACCAGTTTTAATTTATTGATGCCTTATTGGATTTACCACAAAGCATGAGAATGTCACTTGTTCAGTATTTATGAGTTGTCTTTATTTATAAATAAATATTTCACAGAATTACTTGATGTGTCATTATTCAGCTAGTCTAGGCTATTGTGAATACCCTAATTGTAAATGTATGAAAAGTAATACAGTTAATACAATATTTGTATATTTTATTGTCTCTGACTAATATGCAAATATCATTTTAAAGAGATGGAATGCTTGTGAGTTAATAAAACCTTCATATTCCAGTATGGTACTTTAGCCTGTTAGTTTCTTTTTTTTACATTAATATGTATATATGTTTTTATTTTAAGAATTTATGATTTATAAGTTATTCCTAAAGGAGATACAACTTGGTTCCATAATAAGAACACTTAAGGACAACAAGATGCCTGTTAGTACATTGAGGCTGTCCCATTCACTTTAAAAAACAAACTAAATCTAGCCCTGTTTACTTTATTGACCCTTCCATTATACTTTCATAAGTTTACTGCTTCTACTACATCAAAAGACAACCCATTCCAAAGGTAAACCACCCTGTTACAAAAGTATAATTGTGTATGTTCAAGGTGATTCGTACACTGTCAGAATTTATATTCGTGTCACCTCATCTTATAATTTTTACCATTACATTTGAAAAAAGATGATGCATTGATGCTATCAGTTACATTAATAATGTTGTCCACCTCAATCAGATTTCTAGATCTTCTTTTTTCAATAGAAAACAATTTAGAAATTATAACCTATCCTCTTATGACCTTTTCATTCCAAGTATCAACTTAATAACTCTCCTTTGAACCATTTCCAACAATTCCATGTCTGTTTTAAGGTAAGGAGCCCAAGAATGAACACAATACTCCAAATGTGGTCTAACCACTGACCTATATAATTAAATTATAACCTCTTTGAAACTTATATTTAATATTTCTGGAAATACAACTCAATATCCTACTTTCCTACCATTATCAACAGCACACTACTTAGATTGTTAACAGACTGATTGATCAATGAAAACACTGTTTATCCATAATACTGCTACAGTTAGTCATATAAGAAAATAAATTATTCTTATAATTTATATTATGAAAACCCATATGCATTACCTTGCATTAAGAATAAGCAAAATGTTGTGATTGAAGTAGGGTCTCTGATTGATGGTAAATGCATGGCTTATTCTTGATGATTATAAATTAGTTGGAGTACTTGATTCTACTTTTTTTTTTAGCTTTTGCATCAAAAGAGTTTGTGAGATAGGACATTAGACAATGAAAAGTGTCACAAATGGCTTTTATGTAAATCTTATTAATTAATTTTATATAAAAGCGATTTTCTGCTTGTATGGGAAATAACTTAGCTCATTAGATTGAAAAATGGTGAAGGTATGCAAGCAGAGGGTTTATACAAATTGAGTTCTGTCAAACTGAATTAATATTACAAATGAGTTACATCAGGGCTGAGTTTTGGGATCTTTTTGATTTACATAATGTTATAGCCAGTTCTAAACCTGTTTAATAGCAAGCAAAGTTTGATTTCATTAAACAAGAATTATTACTCACAGATTATTTAGGTAAAATGTTTGTTTCTTTGTGTTTGTATATATATATATATATATATTTTTTTTTAGATTTCCTTCCATTTTGCTGTGACTACTGCCATCATGATTTCTGGTAAGCTAATAGAATGACCTCTAGCATTAACACATTTGCTGTTTTATATTATTCATTCAATATAAGTACTCTCACTTACAATTATTGACGACAAAGCTCTTAAGAAACACATTATTTCTACAAATGTTAGAATACTTCAGAGAAAAGAGAGACTATTTACATTACCTGGTGGTGAGTGAAGTTAGAATGAACTTTCAAGAAGCTGTTAGATAATGTAATTAAAAGTAAGGATATAAAATGAATGCTATGATAAACTAGGGGAGGAAAAATTGCTTTACTGTTGGCTTTTAGGCTTCTTCACATAATGGTATTACAAACAAGGATGGTGAACTACTTAATTCCTCAAAGTTATTTGTTACTTGAACTTGTGACTGTTGTAAGAATACAAAACAGTACCGTATGCAAGTGAATGAAGATCTGTTGATTCTGTACTGAAATTCTTTTTAATCAAAGATGACTTTTTTTTTTCAGTAGACTTGTTTCAGGGTATGCATTTTCAGTTGGTCCAGAAAAACTTTTAGTTATCTGACTACTTTTCTGAAAAATGTATATTGTAATTTAAAGTTAGTGTTTATAGTTTTCTTGAGGTTTAGACTGCATTAAAATGTTTCATAGACATTTGGCTAATCTTAAGTAGAAATATTGCCAAATTCCTCACTTTGGTATCCAAACAATACAGTTTATGTTCATTTGTCCATTCGTGTTTGAATACAGTGATACTGTCCATTTCAAACAGATTTATTCAAGGTTTGTAAGAGAGCATAAGCAGAAAGGCTTGTACTATCGTACATTAAATATTATGTTTTGATGACATTTCAGGACACTTGCATGTTCCTTCTTCAGGACAGTTTTGCTAAGCTCTGAAGTATTACTGGTTGATGGTTTATGTGTGATCTCTTTTCCTATTGGATGGAGATTGTTTTTTCTGTTTGCTTCTTTTTTTTATTAGTCTCATCCACATATTGTTATTTCTGGTATTTTGTCTTTCTTGAGTGTTGGTTTGTGTTTTCTGACATATAGTGGTACTTTTATTTTCCCTTGTTTTCTTGTTCTTTTCTTTGCACTTTGTATTTTTTTCCTGTCTATGGTATGTCCTGTTTCTGTTATGTGTTCCCCAACAGCAGATATGTTTATTTTAACTAGTCTGATAGCAATTTTTTATTCTTTTAAACATTGTCCCAAGGGGAGAAAAACACACAGAGAGATAGGAAGACACTTGGGACAATTTTAATAGAATATTGATACTTCTCTTTCAACTCTGTTGATGATAAGTCAACCTTCTATTTCAGTTCTTCGGGCGGCATGGCCAGGTGGTTAGGGCGCGCGACTCGCAAT